TTTACACGTATGCAATAAACTCAAATACCTGCACAAGTACCAAATACAAATGTGCATATCAATACCAGCTTATTCTTTTGCTTTAACTCTGAAAATTATACATTTCTCATACTTCTTTCACACACAAATGAAATTACTGAATGTTTAATGTCAACTATTACAAAAACTCACTTCTTAGGCGACAATCTGGCGTCACAAGTAAATAAATTTGTCTCTCGACAACTGCTGACGTCTTGCTCTGTATTCTGTCAAGTGTTGTTGTTGTGTTTTGGTTTATTGGCGATTAGTCAGTAATTTGACTATTGTCACCAAAATACTTTACGGCACGTGTTGTATCTCTCATTTTTGTATTTTTTGAAAAATATATTTATTTCGTTTTATATTTATCTATCTTTTAAGATAGTATCGAAAAATAATATCGTAAGCAAAATTTTCATGGACTTTGTTAGTGTTTCTTAACAGTACGTGCAGATTATTTGTTATATCACATACACACCATACATGTATATGTATATAAGATATTACCTACACAAGCCTCTATATTCAATAATCTTATCATACCATTTATCAATGTTGTTACTTTTTCTCATTTTATTTCCTTATTACATTGTGTTATTATATTTTTAATGTACTGAGTGTAATTTAACATATTATAATATTTTTTTATGTTTTACTGTTCTTATTTTATTTCTTATTACATTATGTTATTATATTTTTAATGTACTAGTGTAATTTAGCATATTTATAGTATTTTTTATAGTATTTTTTGTATACTGGACTCACTCTTTTTTAAGTATTCCATAATTTTTTCCGGTTGGGATTCGTTTATTTCGGATAAAAATATAGCCCTTTCTATAATATAGTTAGGGCAATGTACTAAAAAATGTTTTACAGTCTCTATTTCACTGGGGCATCTATTACAGAAACCAGTAGCATAAATTCTCAATCTAAACAGATCTTGGTTAAGTCCAAGGACTCCAAAGCGGAGTCGATGAATAGTTGTGGAATGTTGTCTCTCTAATGAACATATATATTGTTTATTAACATCTTTTTGAAATGTTTTCCAATACGAGTTGGTTTTGTTCCACCTTTCTTGCCAAAGGAGTTTGGAACTTATAATAATTATACTTTTCATTTCTGACATATTTAGATTATTATTGACTTCTATTTTCTTTACTAATGCGGCCTTTGCGTGGAAATCCGCCATCTCGTTCCCTTTTATTCCACAATGTCCAAGTATCCACTCTACGTATTTATCAATTCCTTTACTCTTTAAGTGATAGTCATGGTGAGAATTTCCAGAATAAAAGATTCGTCCTTCTATTGTTGTAATGCAATAAGTGCACTCAGTGAATCACTAAAAATAACAACCTCCACATAAATATCTAATTCATCTACCCATCTGAGAGCAAGAATGATGGCAGCCAATTCAGCCCTTTACGAAGAGGTAAAATTTTCTAACCTTTTGCTCCGATGTACAGAATAGTAAGGGACGTAAAAAGCAGCTGCAGACAGTGGCGGATCCAGGGGGGGGGGGGCCCGGGGGGCCCGGGCCCCCCCCCCCTTGAGAAAAAAATCATGTAAAATCACGTGATTTTTACCTTTTTGGGGGGTTGGGCCCCCCCCCTGGCGCTCAAGGGGGGGGTGCAAATTGAATTTTTTTTTTAGGATCAAAAAGAAAATGTGCTCACTACCCCCCCCCCCCCCCCCCCCCCCCACTGAGCGACTTTTCGGCCGGCGCGATTTTCAAATTTTCGGGAGCAAAAAAAAAAAAAAAGTTGGGCCCCCTCCCCTAAGAAATCCTGGATCCGCGCCTGGCTGCAGAGGTCCCTCTTTCAGGTACTTTTGATCCATCGGTGTATATATGTAATTGAGTCGCCCATTTAGTATGTATGATTTCCAGGCTGCTTTGTTTTTGCTGTGTAGGATGATCTGTTTTCTTTATTCGATTACTTAATTCCGTTGACACTGCCGGAGGGAGAATAACCATGGTGGAAATGGGGAGGAGGTTATCGTTTCTATATGTTTTCCCAGCTTGCTTTGTATTCTATATCCAAAAGGTTTGTTTACGTTTTTCCCCTTCAAGTATTCAAAATGCCAACATGGTTCAATGTTTTTCAACAACGGATGATTCGCCCATCTTTCGATGTTTTGTCTATATTTACTTGAAAGCATTTGTCTTCTTATATCCAAAGGCATTTCCCCCATTTCCACCTGTAGTGATTCTAAGGAGGTTAAGGGCAGCCCACCTGCGCATATCTTCAGTGCTTGGTATTGGACAGAGTCAATGGCTTTTTTGGTGGTAGCAGCTGCACTGTCATACGCCTCACAATTGGTAAATCAATAATGATAAAGTAGCGTAATAAGGTATCTTTAAAAACCAAAACTTATAGCGATTATGTAACTAGCTTTTTCTGACTCAAAATCTACGGTATCTTCAAATGATCATAAATAAAAAGAAAACATTAAATAGAAATACAAAATAAGGTTTGTTCATCAAACCAAATATTGATGTCTCCGAACAACATTCATCGTGAAAAACCCATTCCAATATTCTGTGTAAGGAGATCTAAAAAAAAAAACATATTTCTCATTAGTAAATGAAAAACATGCTTTTGGTTCTTCATTTGACTCTCTTCCTTCTTTAATTAAACCAACTGAATCCTCTCTGCGGGAAACTCACTTCAATGAAACAGAATATCACTGATGCAAAATTTGGTTCTCAAAATGACAAAAAATGTCCACTCCTGATCTCATACAAACTGTCTGTTTCCTAAAAACATAATATAAAAGTTACGTTCCAACTATCAAACAAAAAACTTCCATTATCTCCTTCTTCACCCAGATATACTTTTCATACCAGATACGCTCTAAAATATAAGCATAACAATTCCCGTAAGGCCCTGACCAGAGCACTATTTTTTTTCTTCAAAAACTATAACCAGTCTTATAAGGTGCATTATTATTGGAAGAGTGTTATAAACAAAACTTCAAACTTAATAACATTCTTACCTTTAAAAACACCTTAACTATCTTATGCCTGCTACGTTTGAATACAATACATAGGCCTACATCAGCTTTTCAATAAAACAAAAATTAGTTGTAACATAATAATCTTTCTCCAAAATATCGAACTGGGGTATTCTGTTGTATTGCTTGTTTATGTACATACAAAGAGCTTATTTTCAAGAGGCACTAGATCCATGTGTGTAACTTAAGAAAGAACTCTTTGTTTACCCCATAATGGGGCCAATATTTAGTAACCCATATGGGATCTATCTGGGTTACCCAATATGGGTACCAGATGGGGATGAGCTGGGCGTACACATTTGGGCCCAGTTTGGTATGGGTCCCATCTGGGTCCCATCTGGGTCCCATCTGTCTTATATGGGTCCCATATGCTTCTTGGGTGCAGATGCCTTAGGGCCCCCGATGGTTTTCCACATGGGGCCCATGTTTTAGAGAATTTTGGACCCATGTGGCTTGCTACCTGGGTTATTATCCTCTCTGTCTCTCATTATCACTCTCTCCCACTCTCTTCTTTTTTGCACTTTTGCGCTTCGCGCTTAACATTTAGCTCGTTGCTTTTTAACGCTGAGGCTTTGCATTTGGCGCACTGCATTAAATAATGCTGTTGATTGAATAACTTGAACAAATTCATCAATTCCTGATGAAGCCGTATGAGCAAGAATTCAATTTATTCTTGTCTCATATACGGTTATCTCATTTACTTCGTTTTCTATTTATATATGTATGTATTATGAAAATGAGATAGCAAAATGTGTATATTGATGGTCATCTTTCGAGTAATAACCATTAACTACTCTCATCGGGCTCTCATCATTAATTTTTCTCTTCATTTTTGTTTGTTTTTGATGGTGAATTATTGGGGGGGGGGGTTGATTGTACAGGCCACCCCCTCCCCCCACCTGAAATATTTGGGGGATATATCCCCCCCCCCATCTCCCGGGATCGACACCCATGGATGCATCATATTTACAACACCAAACAAAGAAAATAAAGCAGCAAATATATATATCATAACGACAAATGACGAAACTAAGCACGCAAGCACACTGTACAAGACAGTGTCCTCGTAGAGACTTCCATTACCAATAACGGCAAACGTTTTCGCATGCAGCGTATACAGAATCTGAAGCTTTTTTTTCGGGGGGGGGGTGGTCAAAAATAAGAGTAGTATCTGGGATTTATGTGGGGTCTAATGGGCTTATTCAGTGTCAATGGTACATTTTAAGGTTTTGAAATATTAATGTGAGTCACATTTTTCAAAATGTCACATAACTACGATGGCGGCTCTAAGGTAAAAAGCACGCATAGTCCCTGGGTTTTCATTATGGGGAATTTTTCAACATTTTTTAAATGCATATCTCTTGTTCAGCTGCGCATTCTTCATTCTTTGGTCAGTCTGGAGAGTGTAACTAGGGCTTCTGTGTTGAGCACTGCCTAATACCCTGCCTACCAATGCATTTTTAAAACTTTCACTTTTGACCCTTGCTGCCCCTTATTCTGATGTAGCCTACTGCTCATTCCATGGCCGGGAAACTAAAAAGACGGGAAAGTATAACAAATACGGTATCATTTTAAAGAGGAATAAACATAATTTCTTACTATACTGGACATAGCGATTATTATGACGTGACAAGAGAGATATAATGAATGAATTAAACCTGAGTTTCCAAACTTTTTTGAGGGGTTTATATAATACCCTTAGTAATATTATTATCATCTATCGAACACGTTGGACCGCTTTATTTCACTATTTACCATAATTCAACAGTGCTCCTTTGAGGACTGGTAAAACTGTTTGTTTTTACATGTTCTACAGGGGAAGGTTACGTAACGGGGTCTTTTTCGATTGTTCCTGAACCCTGCCAAAAAAAACATCGAATTCAAACATGGTAAATAAAGGGAAGCCTCTTGGTGGTCACCGTTGTGCGACGTTCTACGGTAGCACACGCAAACTCTATGCACACACACGCACACATAAGTATTAAAGAGTATAGCTTCCACAATACTGCGTGGGGACTGCATGAAGGGAATACAAGTGAAAGCAACAACTACGCTCACGGTCTCAGGTTAAAATCTAAAATTCGCGCAGTTTAGAAGTGACCAATTCACTGGAGATCTCAGAAGGATGTAATTTGATTTTTATTTCTATCACAGATTTGTACCCGATGCATTTTCGGTAAGTGTTGACACTTTCTCTTTGAGTTACAATAATATGCCATGTATACCTTAACAATAAAGGCGTTCATATAAATGTGCACGGTACCCTATTATATAAGTAAAATCCATATACCTTTGTAAATCATATCTTAGAATTGGGCTTGAAGAAATACTAAACATGTTTGCCTCTCTGCAAGACTGCAACCACGAATATCAATTATGTTCTATTTGAAATGATCCGTGCAGCTGTTGAAACAAAATGGACTATTGACGAATTTATTGTGGTCATAAATGATATCTTATTTGTAAAGGTAATACAATTTTTGGTAAATTTTGAAAATTGGCTGGATAGTGATTCTTTACAATTTTTATATATTTGGATGCCCATGTGGATGTATTATAAGCACTAGAACATTTAGCTTCTAAAACCTTCTGCTTTCGAGAAAAATTGATTATTAAAATTTCCTGGTGCTCCCGCCGGTAAATGTTGATAAATTTCAAATTGCACCTATGGCCATACAATGTTAGCTGCGACCATGAAAATCTTAGAATATGTAGTTGTGATATATGATTTCCAAACGGAATAGCCAATCGGTCGATTTATAGTCAAGAAAAATTGTTCAAGTCAAATGAATATCTTGACCTTGAGAGGGAGCTATACAACATAAAGAGTTAATTATTTACAATTTTATCACTTTAGACTCCATTTCAACCGCGCAACGATCATCGAATATTGTAGGATCGCATATGCTTCCGATATGTTCATTTGAACAAAATTCATGACCCCATACCAAAATGTTGTATTATACCTTTAAGGACGATAATATAAACGTGTACGATCGGATGTTTTTGCATATTGGAATAAAAAGCAAGAATAACTGAATATATTATATGGTACTTGCTATCTTTTTCAAAATCCATACTAAAGGACAGTCCAACAATAAAGGAACTTGCTAACATTGATCAGATGAGAAAATGATGCTATAAGGTAGAAACTTCAATTTTAATAATAATAATAATAATAATAATAATAATAGTTCGTCCTTATATAGCGCATTTCAGGACCGCAGGCCCTCTCAATGCGCTTTACAGATATATATTATTACCCCGGTCGCGTAATTTTTTTCCCACTTGAGCTCGGGACCCCCAGTATGAATTCATTTGCATACAGCCAATCAGAGTTCATTTTTACCGTGTTTACACAGTGATCCGCCTCGAGGATTGAAGCCGGTTGAAGCCGCGAGGGGGTTGAAGCCTCTAAAGCGCGCAAATGTGATCGTGTTTACACAGCAGGAAAAAAAAAGCGGCTTCAACCCTCGAAACGGATTACAATGATGTCACAATGCGGTAAATTTGACCTACGTCAGCTTCAGCAACAGTAACATATACGCGCGGCCTATTTATACTTTTAAGGTTGCGCTTAAAGGAAAGCTATGCGCGCATATCAGTACTACCATTTTCATTGGCTGCTCAGGTCGGCCCACATGGCTTCAACCCTCGAGGCATATCAGATCCCGTTTACACGACATAAAGTTGCAGGGTTGAAGTCGCGAGGTGGATTGAGACCTGCAATTCTGGTGGATTCAAGCGGCGGCTTCAACCCGGCTTCAATCCTCACTGGGATCCCGTTTACACACATAAAACTGCAGGCTTCAACCCGGCTTCAACCCTCGATGCGGATCACTGTGTAAACACGGTATTTGTCATTAACAAGCCTTACGCGTGCTAAAGATGCGCGGCGAAGTTCAAAACTGTGCGAAGCTCTGGGCTTTACACACGTTCACACAGCGCCTAGCCTATATCAGCATCAGCATGCATGGTGTGTGTGCAAAGGCATAGGCTTGCAAATGTTTCATTTCAGCTCTAACATCTTTACCTTTAGCAAATTTATCTACAAATATCAGCTCATCAAATTGCTATGAAAAACTGTTATTGAGCACTAAGTTACAATTAATCTATCAATCAAGGATAGGCTTTTTTCGTCATCGAAGCCACTATATATTATAAGGACTCATTTCTTAAAATGTTACGGTTGAGAATTTATCATAGATCTTTACACCTCTAAAAGGCTCTAATATAATATCAGCTTATGAAATTGCCGTGTAAAGTTATTACTTAGCGTTTGATCTAAATTTAAATTACTCTAAGCTGATATTATTAAAGTCTTTTAGAGGTGTAGATCTATAATAAATGTTTCAACCATAACATCTTTAGAAATTAGTCCCTATATATAGTGGCATCGACGACCGTGACGATAATGCATATCCTTGAGTGATAGAGTAATTGTAACTTTGTGCTAAATAACAGTTTTTTACAGCAATTTAATAAGCTGATATGTGTAGATAAATTTGGTAAAGGTAGAGATGTTAGAGCTGAAATGAAACATTTGCAAGCCTATGCTTATGCACGCACACCATGCACGCTGATATAGGCAAGGCGCTGTGTGTACGTGTGTGAAGCCCAGAGCTACGCACAGTTTTGAATTTCGCCGCGCATCTTTAGCACGCGTAAAGCTTGTTATTGACAAGATGAGCTCTGATTGGCTGTATGCAAATGAGTTCATACTGGGGGTCCCGAGCTCAAGTGGGAAAAGAATTACGCGCCCGGTCATCGGATTCATGCTTACCCGCACATAAGGTGTGCACATTATCCACTCTCTGGAGGAGCATTCCAGCCAGTCGCCATTTTACAAGCGCCATTGCTAATCAAACCACATTAGCTTTCGCATCCTACCGGGTACCCATTTAAAACCTGGGTGGAGAGTGGCAAGTGTAGATCAATGTCTTGCCAAAGGACATTAGTGCCGCGGTGGGACTTGAACCGCGGACCTCGTGATCCACAGTCCGCTGACATATCCACTCGACCACGACACCTTTAGATGTACAATATTAAAGGTAATCTGAAAGTTTGAGTGAAAACAAACCATTGTTATTGATACAAATTAGGGAAAACTGATCTAATCGATTCCTGAATTCTCAAAACCATATTATTACAATTTAATTTAATTTTAGGTAATTAGCTAATGATTATGGAAGCACGATTTTAGAGCACCCTTGTATTTTCTTTTTTTCTCTTCAGATAACGATGGAAGTTGGGACGTTTTTGCAAAACATACATATATGGATGACTAGTGAATACTGAGACGGTTTGCGATAGCCGAATGTTTCTACATGAATATGTGAGGAATCCGGATTGCGCGAGAACGGGAAGTTCAAATATTTTTGAAATATATGAACCTGTTTCATCAAGTAAATACTATCCACACGTTGTCTGAATGATTCCCATACCGTTAACCTCGTATCTACCATCTTACAAGGAGGTCAAGGAGCCGGATTATATGGTGACCGGTTAGTTGGTAATCCTTCAAATCTAAACGTTATACTGGGTGACGTGATAAAGTAACTATGGCAACGTACATTGGACCACTAAGATCCTATGTATCTGGTATCATCTTTGGAAGTTTTATATTTGGTATGTGTTATTGCTTTTCCAGCTATGCCTCACAATTCATTGAGGGTTCAATAACCCAGACCAAAGCGGAAAACTTTAAACGAGACACGGCGCACAGCAGCCATCTTAAAAGTGAGCGCGATGGTTCTAATTCTGCAGGCGTCGGGACGAAATTTCCTGATATAGACCTGACTACGATGCAATGTCCGATGAAGGACTCCGCGATAGATCCTAGCATCCTTGCCCAGTTAGACTGTAAGAAGCGGCTTCCTCACGTCATCGGGATCGGGATGGAGAAGTGCGGGACCGGAGCCCTGTCGTTCTTCCTGGCCAGCCACCCTTCTCTCGTCCATTCTGTTCCCCAAGAGATTTACTATTGGAACAAGAATAAAGAGAAGAGCCTCGAGTGGTACCGAGACCAGATGCCAATCTCCTCCAAACACCAGGTAACAATGGAGAAAACGCCGTCGTACATCTTTGAAAAAGACACGCCGGCGAGGATCAAAGCGCTGATGCCCGAGACCAAATTCATCGTCATGATCCGGGATCCGATTGTCCGAGCTGTTTCGGATTACCTCCATCTCCAAAATATCGGTCTTCCAGAGTACTTTAAACCGCGGATAGTTCCACCAGGCTATGAACCGCTGTGTTACGTCAATACAACCTTTGAAGGATCCGTTATTAAACCGAATGGTGAAGTCAATACGGATAATGCCATCCTTTCGCACAGTGCATACGTGTTATATCTTAGGAAATGGATTGAGCTTTTTCCTCGGCATCAATTCCTCGTCATAGACGGCGATGAATTTGTTAAGAATCCTTTACCAGTCTTACAACAGGTAGGCCATTCTTAAATGCCCCTTCTCTCCAGTCTAGTCTTTATGTATCTATATCTTGCCTCCTCCCTCCCCCTCTATTTCCGTTTCTTCAATTTTCTACAGTGCCCCTCGGTAGGGCCGTATAGCCAGAGTTTGGTGTTTGGGGGGGGGGGCACATACATGTAATATTATTGATCGACGACCTGGGGAGAAGTCTAAGAAGGTTCAACCGATCTTGGAATTTTTTTAGGGGGGCACGTGCCCCCCGTGCCCCCCCCCCCCCCGTGGCTACGTGCCTGCCCCTCGGGCCTCTCCCGCCGGTTTATTTGGAATCCAATTACCAAGCAGCTAAAAAAAAAAAGGCAATCGTTACATGTCATATTCTAACACTGTATTATGAGACAAGCAATAGTTTATTCGCATTCCATATTAACTTATTTTACTAGGAGCGTCGATAGTGTGTGTGTGTGTTCGGGGGGAGGGGGGTTCCAATCCACAAGTGCCCCTAGGAGGCCGCCCTCAACTTGAGCTTTACAAAACGTCCACCATCTTTGGGTGACAAAAAAAAGAGATTACGGTGTATCAAAGAGCGGATCCAGAACAGGGGGAGGAGGGGGGGGGGCGTGTATCTATCGATAGGACCTTTGTTCCTTTCAATCGACGCCCCTGCCCTTAACTATTCTACATTCTACAGGAAATAATCGCTATAATTACCATGATTTAGTAACAACTCCTCAGTCTATTTTGATATTCTAAAGGTAATGATCATCAATGAACATTCTTCTCCCATGTCTCTCCTCAACACATCACCCCACCCTTTGATTCCAGGTCGAGTCTTTCTTAGGTATTCCCAACTACTTCAACGAAAAGATCATCTACTTTGACGAGGAGAAAGGCTTCTTCTGCAAGTCGAAACAGCGCGGTTTGGGTACCGTCTGTGCGGGAGCTACAAAAGGGAGACCTCACCCAAACGTTGACGATGACGTCATCAGAAAACTGAGAAGTTACTTCCGGCCCTACAATACTCAACTGGAAGATATGTTGGGCATGCTCTTCTCGTGGAGTTAGAGGGCAGTCCAACCTCGGTAATAAGTTGAGTTGTGTGCAAGTAGACACATTATAGAAACGGGTTGGTGAATGTGTAAAGGAAGATTAATAAGTACCAAAAAAATGTTAAAAATACCAGCGCAGTAACAGTATTACTGGGGTTGCAGTTATGATATGTTATTAACTCGTCATCATGAATATGATCTACGCTTTCAGAAATAATTTCTTATTATTTATTCCATTTTGTTCAAGCTTTCAATAGTTTCATTAAAACCTGTTTCTCTAACTGTTCTGCTTCAATTAATTTGCTATCAAGTGTGGATTTCCCTTTAAGTCTGTCAAACGTAGACCTTCGGATTTGAGCTTGGAATGATTTGAAGCTTATTTATTTCCATGTAATATACATCATTATGTTTATAACATTTTAGCATGTAAAATTGTACATAGAAAAATTGGACGTCATAAGCACAATTTCAATTGACGTCCTCATCATACATAAACAGTTTGTACAGTAGAAATTTATGCAATTTATTATTATCATTATTAGGTCTTAGGCGTCACCTGGAGGAGGGAGAGAGGGAGGGAAAGAGGGAGTGGGAGAGAGGAGGGGAGAGTGAGTGGAAGAGGGAGTGGGAGGGAAAAGGGGAGAGGGAGGGGTAGAGGGAGTGGGAGGGAGAAGGGGAGAGGGAGGGGAAGAGGGAGTGGGAGGGAGAAGGGGAGAGGGAGTGGAAGAGGGAGTGGGAGGGAGAAGGGGAGAGGGAGGGGAAGAGGGAGTGGGAGGGAGAAGGGGAGAGGGAGTGGAAGAGGGAGTGGGAGGGAGAAGGGGAGAGGGAGTGGAAGAGGGAGTGGGAGGGAAAAGGGGAGAGGGAGGGGAAGAGGGAGTGGGAGGGAAGAGGGAGTGGAAGAGGGAGTGGGAGGGAGAAGGGGAGAGGGAGTGGAAGAGGGAGTGGGAGGGAGAAGGGGAGAGGGAGGGGAAGAGGGAGTGGGAGGGAGAAGGGGAGAGGGAGTGGAAGAGGGAGTGGGAGGGGAAAGGGGAGAGGGAGGGGAAGAGGGAGTGGGAGGGAAGAGGGAGTGGAAGAGGGAGTGGGAGTGAGAAGGGGAGAGGGAGTGGAAGAGGGAGTGGGAGGGAGAAGGGGAGGGGAACAGGGGAAGAGGGAGTGGGAGGGAGAAGGGGAGAGGGAGGGGAAGAGGGAGTGGGAGGGAGAAGGGGAGAGGGAGGGGAAGAGGGAGTGGGAGGGAGAAGGGGAGAGGGAGTAGAAGAGGAAGTGGGAGGGAGAAGGGGAGAGGGAGTAGAAGAGGGAGTGGGAGGGAGAAGGGGAGAGGGAGGGGTAGAGGGAGTGGGAGGGAGAAGGGGAGAGGGAGGGGAAGAGGGAGTGGGAGGGAGAAGGGGAGAGGGAGGGGAAGAGGGAGTGGGAGGGAGAAGGGGAGAGGGAGGGGAAGAGGGAGTGGGAGGGAGAAGGGGAGAGGGAGTAGAAGAGGAAGTGGGAGGGAGAAGGGGAGAGGGAGTAGAAGAGGGAGTGGGAGGGAGAAGGGGAGAGGGAGGGGTAGAGGGAGTGGGAGGGAGAAGGGGAGAGGGAGGGGAAGAGGGAGTGGGAGGGAGAAGGGGAGAGGGAGTGGAAGAGGGAGTGGGAGGGAGAAGGGGAGAGGGAGTGGAAGAGGGAGTGGGAAGGGGAAAGGGAGTGGAAGAGGAAGTGGGAGGGAAAAGGGGAGAGGGAGGGGAATAGGGAGTGGGAGGGAAAAGGGGAGAGGGAGGGGAAGAGGGAGTGGGAGGGAGAAGGGAGAGGGAGTGGAAGAGGGAGTGGGAGGGAGAAGGGGAGAGGGAAGGGAAGAGGGAGTGGGAGGGAGACATATGGAAACGTTTGCTTGTATTTGTCTCATAAAAGAATATGAGCACGAACTGACTCCCACACGGTGTTGAGTGCTCAGGGGTCACAGGCCAATGGCTTCATCGGGCAGGTAGTTCCATTATCTGAATGGGTAAATTAACTATTACAAAATGAGGGGACACATTACATTGTACAATAGGGACACACATTGTTTTTATTGTGCAGAACATACTCTTTTATTGACTTACTTATTGCATGAAACTATATAACCAAAATGCATTTCGTATTCTAACAATTGGAGTACAAAGAATAATAACAGGTGAATGAAATGCATAAACACCACAAACACCTGGGGAGGAAGCATTCATAAATTTGAATACATATATATGATAAACGACTCCGATGAAACTATAAAACCAAAATGAAATTTGCGTTCTGGCAATTGGAGTACAAAGAATGATAGCAGGTGAATGAAATGCTTCAACAGCAACACAAACACCTGGGAAGCTAGGACGCATCCATAAATTTGAATAATTTAGTTGATAAACGACTCCGCATGTGGACGTTTGTTGGAGCAAAAAGCAGTGGATTCTTAACAACACGAACCCATTTAACATAATGTCGGAACGTAAATTAAATTTGGCGCGGTTGGAAAATGCATCTTTCTACCCTGCAACTTTAATGGTACGATCCAGTAAATTAAAACAATAAAATGGCTCTTATTTTAAAATTACTCATTAAATGAAACCCAAAACTTCAGTGATATCAGAAAAAATATGTTATATCTTACAAATAATTAAAAAAAAGATGTATAAACATTGTGAAGTGTCGCATTTTACGATAAAAGACACCGATTTAGCAAAGATCACGTCATTAGTGCGCTTGCATCAGGGAATTCAAGGTCAAAAGGTCAATTGAGACGCTGATGAGTTGTTGGTCGAGCATTTTTGTTTCCTTTATTCCGACAAAATTATACGCTCAATCAAAATAAGTTTGATACCAGAAGAAAGCTATCGATTAGTATTTTCATTAACCGCTTGCCCCAAAGTCTCTTGACCACAGTGAAACGAGAGCGACAGCTTGCGAGAGCGGCCAAAGTGTGATTGAAACTCGCTATTTGCTCTTCTCCAACACAAAAAGAGACGACATTGTGCTGGATAAATGTATTTTTTCCGACAAAAGTACAGAAAATTTGCATATAGTATTTTTATATTATACTTTATGAAATGTTACCCGAGTGACTTCCGGGCGCCCCAATGCTGGAAAGAAACGCACATTTTAGAAAACTTCACTTTTTCATGGAAAAATGCTTATTTGTTCTATGCACGCAAGTCAGATTGAGCGGATGATACAACGTTTCCATATGGGGGAGAGGGAGTGGAAGAGGGAGTGGGAGGGAGAAGGGGAGAGAGAGGGGAAGAGGGAGGGGAAGAGGGAGTGGGAGGGAGAAGGGGAGAGGGAGGGGAAGAGGGAGGGGAAGAGGGAGTGGGAGGGAGAAGGGGAGAGGGAGGGGAAGAGGGAGTGGGAGGGAGAAGGGGAGAGGGAGGGGAAGAGGGAGTGGGAGGGAGAAGGGGAGAGAGAGGGGAAGAGGGAGGGGAAGAGGGAGTGGGAGGGAGAAGGGGAGAGGGAGGGGAAGAGGGAGTGGGAGGGAGAAGGGGAGAGGGAGTGGAAGAGGGAGTGGGAGGGAGAAGGGGAGAGAGAGGGGAAGAGGGAGGGGAAGAGGGAGTGGGAGGGAGAAGGGGAGAGGGAGGGGAAGAGGGAGGGGAAGAGGGAGTGGGAGGGAGAAGGGGAGAGGGAGGGGAAGAGGGAGGGGAAGAGGGAGTGGAAGAGGGAGTGGGAGGGAGAAGGGGAGAGAGAGGGGAAGAGGGAGGGGAAGAGGGAGTGGGAGGGAGAAGGGGAGAGGGAGGGGGAGTGGGAGGGGAGAGGGAGTGGAAGGGGAAGGAGGCGCTTTACATTGATGTAACCCTAAGCTGTATACCCCATGAGGGGGGGGGGGGGCAACATGTAAGTAAAAATGACATGATGTAATAAGAATATTGGTATATACACCTAATTGGAAAGGAAATGATTTCAGGAGTTTGGGCTTGAATTTTATTCAAAATTTATAGTATCCAAAATATCCTAATGTCATACATTGTTTATTTTACGTCTTTGATATACATGTTGATTTGTTTGTTTATGCATTTCAATATGTAATTTATATGTTCATATAATCATACACTGCAATCATATTGAAGCGCTTTCGTCGCCCTCTCTGTTTCTCTTTCTCTCTTTCTATACCTCTCTCTTCCTCTCTCTCTCTCTCTCTCATTATCTCCTAGAATTACTTTTACATAATTTTATACATGTATCTCTTTTTCTATCAACATAACTTAGCGCGTTATATTTAAGTGGTGACATAATGTAGAAGAGCTGCGCATTTATCAATACGAAATATTTGTAAATAACCCATACAATGTATATTAAGTATGATTTTATAACAATGATACTGATAAGAAAATAGTGCCAATCAAGTGATAACAATAATTATGACGATATTTATACACGTTATAACAGTAATGATTATGAATCACATTACTAGTGGTAATAACATCAACTTGTGGAGGAAATGAATGAAATTGAGAAGTTTTGGTCCAAGGATTATGCTGGGGACATATATAAGGTAATTATATTGAAGATACATAATAATATTATAAAGCAAATCAGAATGATGAAGTTATTATAGTTAAAGAGTAGAAGTAGAAGTAGTAGTAGTAGTAGTGGCAGCATCAGCAGTAGTAGCAGTAGAAGCAGTGGTAGTAGTAGTAGTAGTAGTAGTCGGAGTAGTAGCAGCAGCAGCAGTAGAAGGAGAAGGGGAAGGATAAGGGGAAGGAGGAGGAGGGGGAGTAGGAGTAGGAGTACATGCAGTAGTAATACTTACTATGTAGTAGTGGTGTATTTTCGGAAGTCATGTGCACATTCGTAGTTCTGTGTGATAGTTGCATTCTGTTCTACGCAGAAATGATGTTTTACGAACTAACTAAATTTTCCTCGACTCCTTAATACCTCATTCGCACCACCGATACCGACACCACCCGACACCAGACCGAACCAACATGAACATAACCCCGAATGGCCACAAATCAGCCGGTTTAAAGGTAGTATAGCATGGTAAACACTGGTTAACGCCATCTACGTCTTCTTTTGGACAACTGCACGTAAACGAATGAACTTGATTAACGGTAGTCAGTGACTTAATCTCTACTTGGTCAGCGCGCGTTAGCGTTCGCGAAACAGACCGAAGTTCTCCTCATGCTTCGGTTTCACGTATGTTGCACGCTCGCACGCGAATGCTGCGGTCGCGTCGTCCGTAGTCGTACTATACCCGATTGGCCCCGAGTAGGGCCATGGGAAAGACACACAGTCTCGTCATGCTACACTCCCTTTAACTTTGGAGTCGATCTTGAGTCGTTTTGGCGGTGTGAGTGAGGTATATAAATCACAAATCGAAAAATCAACTGTAGGCAATTTCAATGGTGCGAACATTACAATGATGCATTACGTAACCCGTACATGAGTTCTATGGGATATACAGAAAAGGTTATTGAAATTGCTCTGGAGTGGATTTCTCGAAAGTCTGCACGATCGTGTTTTAAAATGATGGACAAAAATAGGACAGTGGTGGTTGTGATAACAATCATGATGACAATCAACTCTGTGAAAGTTTTTTTATTAAATTGTTTGAGCATTCATCATATTTTGCCGTCCCAACGCATTTTGTACGAGTGAGATTGAATTAATATTTAGTGTTTTATTCTTTTTTTCATTAAGTTTTTTTTATATATGGGGATCTACATAATTATCAATGTTATAAATCACACCTTACGAATTTTTGTTTCACGTTTTCGGGTGCCTTCTGAGTCCCAAATCTCTGACGATGTATGTGTGTATGTGCGGGGGGGGGGGGGTCTCCCGTTATGCAGGTGTCTTTATAGTAGTTGTAGAGAGAGGGGCACATGAACACAACATTTTGCTTTTTTTTTGCTTTTTTCGTACCTGAGCTGGATTTGGAAATGATTTATAGTGGATGTAATACATGTAATTTGATCAGTCTAGATCAACGGAACTGCAATACCGTAATCACTTTTGCTGGAGTGCTTTTTTGTAGCGACAGTGAAAAACAATTATTATTATATATACAATTGATACTACATGTAATGGGCTATAAGAATCTGACATTTTCCGAGTGCTACACTCAGCTTGAAATGAAATGGTCCAGATTCAAAGGTAAGTAAATCTATACAATAGGGCCTTTTAGATTCGCAAAAAGACAACGGGGATTGCTACGATCGACGTCCTTTTAATGCACTGCCTTGAATGGACGTCACACGTATCAGTCCACGCAAATCTAAAAGTCCCTATTAAAGGTAAAGACCAGTATTGGAAACGCCCCAATTTCAAAAAATGAAATGGAAGCTCTCATTACCAATCATGTGAAAGAATATGTTTTGACTAATACATGATGATAACAAAATTTGCCGGGAAACCGCCTACTAATTCATATATTTGGTAAATTTGTTTCTCTCATGGTCTGTGAGAGATATAGGGTAGTCCCATATACATCTTTCTGTGTATAGTGCTTGTAACTTTACGAAGAATGGGCCAAATTTCTTATCATTTTGATGATTCCAGAACCTTGCAGATGCTAGATGCTAGATGATCAACCTTTTTCTGATCGATTCCACAACGTTTCTTTCACAATGCAATCGCATGGCCATAACTGGTATTTACCTTTAACGGATGCTAGCTTCAAAGTACGCATCGGTCAAAGCATGATTGCCGCCATCTACGTTTACTTGATAGGCAAACGTTATTATGTCACCGCAAGGAGCATGCTATATAGTGAAAGACCCCAAACTATTGAGAGCTTCATTATACGGAGAGGGGCTTTAAACTAACGTCCTAACGTAATAAACTGATCGCAACTAATATTCAACCACTTCATCCTTGCCTTCCTAATGAATTCTTTAAAATAACAAGCCGAATAACAATACAGAAAATAACTACTAACAATTTACTGACATCGTTAATTGCACAACACAACGCCACTAGGCTATCGTCGATCCAACAGTAAAAGTATTAAGAAAGGATCAGTAACTACGCCCTCTCACATTGCCTGGCGCAAATCATCGAAAGACGATGGAAACGCCATTAATCGCAACAACAACAACAGCTATTGAGAGCGAAATGGTCACTTAAAACACAACTCTTCTAGTTTGTATTATAATTCTACGAGATATAATACACCATTTAGAATCTTGTTGTGTTAGAATTAAAACTCAACAATGGAACATACGAGTAATTGATCACAAATATTTTAAACATAAATAGAGCACTCTCGCGAAGCTGCGTCGTTGAATGAATATTATTCAGCTTACGTACATGTAGTTTGCATGAAATGGAACACATATTCATTGAGTCATTCTCATTTGCTTATCATGCAGAACGAAAGGCATATTATAGAGAAGCGTTTTCAACCCTTTTTCAGTCACTGCACCCTTTTCAGAAATAAAAGCTTCGCGTCACCCTAATCCCAAATTCATCACGGAATATTAATTGTGTATCACTCAGAAACTCTTCAAGTGCCGTGTACATGATGCACATATGTTCTCAATAAAAGAAACAAAATATCTTCGGGCACCTCGCTGTCAAATAGAAAGATATTCGGGCACTTCGTTGTCAAACTATGGAAGTAATCAGACATTATTCCGCCGCCTGAAATCAACTTTTGTATTAATAATGTAACAAAGCGAAGTGTTCGAGGAAGAAATACATTTTGTTAGACTTAAATGGTATTTCCTCATGAAATAACGCACTCTGATGGTTTCTAATGTTTGGTATTTCACAAAATAGACGTTATTCCATTTGGTTTCAAAGTACCTAAATTTCTCCCGTGGCACCCCAAAAGATGTATTGCCACACACCAGGGTACCGCTACACATCGGTTGAAAAATTATGGCTTGCCTCCTACCTAGCAACAATGTAATCTGTGCAATTAGCATTTCTGAGTATTGAAATAGAATTATTTGTAAGAGGTGAATGAAATAACTTGTAACATGGCACTTAACAAAAAGTTATGCATTGACTTAGATTACATTATACAAAAATGGTCTATTGAAAGTGATTATAAGAAAAAAGCGGATATGAACAAATTTGGAAATACAAACATCAAAAGAAACAATTTAACATTTTAAACTCAAATAACTCATGTGGAAATTTTCCCACGCTTTTCTTCTCGCTTTCTTGTTTTACTTGATTCTGAATAACTATTTGACAACTTGCTAAGTGTTAAGAATATAGATCATAATACAATTTAATCATCACCATCATCCTCTTCTTCTTCTTCTTGTTCTTATTCTTGTTCTTGTTCTTCTTGTTCTTGTTCTTCTCGTTCTTCTTCTTGTTCTTCTTCTTGTTCTTCTTGTTCTTCTTGTTCTTGTTCTTGTTCTTGTTCTTGATCTTCTTCTTCTTGTTGTTCTTCTTGTTCTTGTTGTTGTTGTTGTTGTTGTTGCTGTTGTTGTTGTTGTTCTTCTTCTTCTTCTTCTTCTTGTTCTTGTTCTTCTTGTTCTTCTTGTTCTTCTTGTTCTTGTTCTTGTTTTTTTTCTCATTTCTTCTTCTTCCCCTTTCTTCCTTTCCTCTTCCTTCCATCTACTTCTCCTGTGTTGTACTTGCTTCAGTGCTTGCGCGTCGTCTCTTATTTGATCTTGGTTTTGTTCCTTAGATTTGCACACTCCATTTTCTTTTCTCCTATTTCTCCTTCATTCTTTCTCTATCTGTCCTTTTTTCCATCCGTTTTGAGATTGCGTATGTTCCAAAGCTTTGATCATAAGGAATACATTTGAATGACCAGTTCTTTCAAGCTGATTTAAAAAACGGAAATATCAAATGATATTGATAAAACTTGGCCATCTTTAACATTTAAGAACATGTTTCTTGTTTTGTGTTTTTACATTAATGTTCCTTGTCCTTGGAAAGATGTGTGTCTCGGCATGAAAAAAATAATCTTTTTTTGCCAGCATCTCTTTTCTAAAGTAAAGTTTAACCTAAAGACCTAAAGTCTGTCAATGGTAATTCCAGATAAGCCAAACAGAAGGAATGAAATTTTATTCCATTTTTTTGCACCGACACTTGAAAACAAAAAAGATGCACGATAAAGATATTTTATAAATACATTTCCTGCCGTATATCTTTCTTTATCAGCCCAGTCCGTGTATATCTATTTAATCTAAGATAGTGCTAAATAGATATGTTTTTCAAATTACTTCTTAAATTAAAAAGGGGAAGGGTGGAGGCAAGGGAGAAGAATGTTTTATTGATGATGATCGTTTTTACAATAGAAAAGAAATAAAAGAGTTTATATTTTCTATTAATCATGATAATGATACCGATTATTTTCTTTTCAGAATGTTAGATAGGTTAAGGGCAGGTGCGTCGACTGATTGGGCAAATGCCCTATCTTTAAATACACCCCCTCCCCCTCCTTTGCGATCCAAAGATGGTGGACGTTTAACAATGCTCGGGTTGGGGCGGCCCCATGGGGCACTTGGGAATGGCAAACTGTCCCCTCCCCCACAGACACGCACAAACACAATCGACGTCCCTGGCAAAAGAAGTTAATATGGAATGGACAAAATATTGTTAGTCTCATAATACTTTTAGAATATGACATGTAATGATGGCCTCTTTTTTGTTTCCTTTTCTGTATTTGGTTGCTACTGTGATTGTATGCCAAATAAACCTGGGGGAAGGCGAGGCACTGTAGAAAACAGAAATAGAAAGGAGTGGACGCGGGGTGGGGCAATGAGAGGGGTGGGGCAATGAGATAGAAACATAGAGATATGGAACTGAAAGACAAGGAGAAGGAGTATTTAAGAATGGCCTACCTGATGTAAAACTGATAAAGGATTCTTAACAAATTCATCGTCATCTATGACGAGGAACTGATGTCGACGAAAAAGCTCAATCCATTTCTTAAGATATACCACGTATGCACTGTGTGAAAGGATAGAATTATCCGTGTTGACTTCAGCATTCGGTTTAATGACGGACCCTTCAAAGGTTGTATTGAGGTAAACATCCGGTTCATTGCCTGGTTTAACTATCCGCGGTATAAAGAACCTCGGATGTGCGATACTTTGTTGATGGAGGTAATCGGACACAGCTCGGGCAATCGGATCCCGGATCATGACGATGAATTTGGTCACGGGCATCAGCTCTTTGATCCTCGCCGGCGTGTCTTTCTCAAAGATATACGACGGCGTTTTCTCCATTGTTACCTGGTGTTTGGAGGAGATTGGCATCTGGTCTCGGTACCACTCGAGGCTCTTCTCTTTATTCTTGTTCCAATAGGAAATCTCTGGGGGAACAGAATGAACAAGAGAAGGGTGGCTTTCCAGGAAGAACGACAGGGCTCCGGTCCCGCACTTTGCCATCCCGATCCCGATGACGTGAGGAAGCCGCTTCTTACAGTCTAACTGGACAAGGATGCTAGGATCTACCGCGGAGTCCTTCGTCGGACATTGCATCGTAGTCAGGTCTATGTCAGGAGTTAGAGGGCAGTCCAAACTTGGTAGCAAGTTGAGAAGCAAGAAAGAACATCGTGGAGACGGGTTGGTGAAAGCTAAACGAAGATCTATTTGATTTGTTTTCATATATTTGATTTTTAATAGGGTGATCACACTTCCTGCGCAAACATTCTGCCCCGCGAACACACACACACACAACAGCAGTCAGTCTGTGGAATATTATGGCCTGTTGAATGGTTTCTCGGAAAATCATCATAAATCCTTAAATCTGACATCTTTTAAATAGGCAAATATACTGTGATGTAGCTGAAGTCTACAAATTCTTATCATATGATCGGTTTTTCTGAATAATTTGTGAAACACATGAGGAAATAGCTGTGAAGGTGATCCAATTAATTTCCATCGCCATATTTTATTGGCATTGCAAAAAAAAATGGAATTTAAGGTTAATATTTGGTGTAAATATAATCTATGAATATATGATTTAAAAAATGCCCCAAAAATGAACAGTTTGACCTTCCTAATTTGCATAATGAGTGCGCCAATATATAATTAGCTGAAATGAACTAACTTTCATATTTGATGAATATTCATGATTTTTGTAAATTTCAAATGAAATATATTTCCATACCTGTCTGATATACATAGGTTTCACTGATGTATCATGTTCGGTTTTGATTTGATAACATATGCGCACATTAATTAGGAGGACTTAGTTATTTTCACAACTTTTTTATATCTGCAGATTCGCAAAAATGGCAAATATGACTTTTTGTTGGCTTCTGTTTTCAAAACGGTAAAAGATTTTTGGTGTGCTATACCTATTTTTAAGTTTATTATTCTGCATTTCATATTAATAATAACATTTTTAAAAATCGGCAACATCACAGACATAAAACACTAAGATGTACTAACAGATAAATTGTCAAATCATCATATTTTATCACACTTTATCAACAATGATTTAAAACAAAATTGACAGTTATGATCACTAAATCTAATATGAAATCTGTGTAAATCTCAAATTGGCAATTTGAGCAATACCTTGCAGGCCCGTAACCAGAGTTTTCAATTAGGGGGTTCGTTTTTAAACGGCTAGGGGTCCAGGGACAACGCTCCGTCGGGAGTTCAGGGGTACAGAGCCCTGTGAAGCCCCTGGGTTTTCATGCTTCTTAAGACCCCAAAACGCCCTATTTTGCTTTTTTCTTTTCTTCGACGTTTCTTTAAATTATTAGAGAAAGAAGACGATTCGTTGTACCGTTCTCGACTCTTAATCCTTGTCTGAATTCAGTTCCCCTCCCCCCCCCCCCCCCTCCAAAGCGAAGCGCTGAGGTTTTGACGTTTCATTAAATTATCAGAGAAAGAAGACGATGGGTTAATAATATTGTACCGTTCTCGACTTTTAATCTTTTTCTTAATTCAATTTCCCCTCTCCCGCGCAAAGCGCGGAAGCGTTGACGTTTCATTAAATTATTAGGGAAAAAAGTGGGGGAGGGGGTAGTGTGAGCACTGCGTATTTTTTTTCTTCAGGGGTATCTGAAAAAATAGAATGAACACTAGACCACACTAAACCTAACTGCGAGGGGTTTACAAATTTGAAAGTATTTTGTCTCGGTCTTGAACATTTTGATAGTACTCGGTCTCGGAGTCGAACAAAAATGTACGAACCCCCCCCCCCCCCCCCCACCCTCTGAGAGGGGTTTTCAATTTTGAAACAACTTGGTCTCGGCTTCGAAATTTTTGAAGGTACTTGGTGTCGGCTTTAATTTTTAAAGACAAAATACCCCCTCCCCTTTTTTAAAAAAAACCCTGGTAAGCTACTGTCTATAAGTACATCCGTGCTTTAGGCACTGGCGGCGCAGAGAATAATTATCATACCGGTACCAGCTCTCACTTGAACGAGTAACCTCGCCCCTGTTACCCATCGTTAATAGATGGTTGGCGAGTGGGGATTGGACCTGCATGACGACCCCGGTTTTAAGCTATTTTAACATCGGGGTGTGGGTGAAAATTAAAGACTTGTATATGTTTCAGCTTGGACAGTTAATGTACAAGCTCAACATTAAACAATTACCATTGCCTGCTAATGATACGTTCGTAAGAAATGATTCGGTTCATAGTTACCTCACTCGCCAGGCGAGCTCTTTTCATCTACCATTAAATAGAACATCTTTTGCACAAAAGACATTTGTTTTTACAGGTCCAAAACTGTGGAATTCTCTTTCAAATGATATTATACAGTGTAATTCGATACAAATTTTTAAAAGGAGACTTAAAAGCTTTCTTCTGAATAGTTACTATGCTATTGCATTCCCCAATTAAATATAATTTGTAGTGTGACTTTATGCAACTTTGATTTCTTCTTTTTATAAACATGTATGTATTTATCAATGTTTTGCGTTTAAAAGTGATTTTTTTTTGTATTACTGACTCAGTTATTGTTATTGTTTTGTTTTTCTTTCTCATAAAATAATAATTCATAATTTTTAAAGTTTAATTTTAGACTATATGTCTCGAAATTGAAACGGTATAAATATTACAGAATCGAATATACTAGTGTTATAACTGGTTTTTATATTTATAAATAAAACATTATTATAGAGACATTCTTTCGCACGGTTGCACTGTTCATTCCACTTCGAATCAGTTTTGAAGTGTCTTTTTGAAGAGGAATATTGTCTATCGTCGGGGCATGATATATATTTGTTCTTTGATTTTCTTTGTTTGGTGTTGTAACGATATATCTACTTATAAGTATTTGGGGGAAATGCCCCAACGATAGGCAATATTCCTCTTCAAAAAGACACTTCGAAGTGGAATGAACAGTGTAACCTTGCGAAAGAATGTCATTATAAAGAATCTTCTACCAAAACACAAGCTTATCTTTAATTTTGGATTCACGCCTTCTTCTTTATTATACTTGAGTTAATATGCTCTTTCTAATTATTTATGTCATTATCGTGATTAAGTAACATTGTATTACTATTTTATTCGATATGGCAAAAATTTGAGAAAATAAATGTTACTTTGAATTTAATTGAATGAAAGTTAACGCAACATATTGGTGGAAAATAAAGAAATAAAAAGGAAAACACTTGAATTACTAGGTCAAAAACATTAAAACTAATAACGATGAGATAAAAAAAATAGACGTTTGAAAAAATATCCTACATGATCATTATGTGGTAGGCCACATTACGATTACATTACGATCATGTACGATTATTTTTCTTTAAATGTCTATTTTTTTTCTCCATATTCTTCCCATTAGTATTATACCGTTTGTTGTCTTTTTAGAATGTAGAATGATTAAGGGACGTCTATTGATGAGGGCAGGTCCTATCGATTTATACAAGCCCCCCCCCCCCCCCCCCCCTCCCTCCCTCCTTCCTCCCCCTACTCTATGATACACCGTACTCTTTTGTTGTCATCCAGGGCCCCGTTGCATAAAACTTACCATTGATGGTAACTTTACCATCAATGGCAACTACCATGGTAACAGGGCTCAACAGCCAATCAAAATCGAGGTTTCCATGGTAGTTATAATTGACGGCAAGTTACCACCAATGGTATAGTTTTGTGCAACAGGGCCCATATGGAGGACGTTTTGAAAGCTCAGGTTCAGGACGGCCCCCAAGGGGCATTTGTGGATGGGTTACTTCCCCTCTCACCCACACACACACTCACTCACACTCACACACGCACACACACTGAGAACAGGTTTCGGGTTTGAACAACGTGTATACACGAAATCCTCTTAATAATGTTTAATTACTTTACATTTAGTTGTAACTTACATATCATTTATAAATTTCATTCGCTATCTTAAGAAAATAAGTGCCAATAAGTTATCTCTCTTAAAAATCTATTGTTAAGTCTTTAAAATATTAATATTGATCATCAATGATAATATTTGAATATAATGATAATAATAATAGCGAGTTCTTATATAGCGCTTTTCAGGACCGAAGGCCCTCTCAAAGCGCTTTACAGATATATATATTATTACCCCGGTCATCGAATTCAGGCTTACCTGCACTTAATTTATGCACATTCTCCACTCCCTGGGAAGCATTCCAGCCAGGCGTCATTTTTACATGCGCACACTTGCTAATCTAAGCACATTAGCTTTCGCATCCTACCGGGTACCCATTTCACACCTGGGTGGAGAGTGGCAAATGTAGATCAATATCTTGCGAAAGGACATTAGTAACCCAGACATATCCATCTATTACGACAAACCTTATTTGGAGCATGGAAACATAAAATGAAATATTGAAACTGATGAGGCTACAGTGCGTGAACAAGACATATCAGTTCATTATACATTTATCCATTCGTTCATACATTGATTCATACATCAGTTCATACAATAATTCAGGCGCGTACGCAGGGGGGGGGGGGGTTAGGGGGTTAAACCCCCCCCCTTTGGTATTTTTTATGTGTGTATTTTTGAGAACCCTCACCCCCCCCCTTTGGTAATTTTTTTTAATTTATCCAACAGAGCAAAATGTCAAATTTTCAAATTTCGAGTAAAAAAATAAAAAGAATAAGTGTCCTCTTACCCCCCCCCCCTCCCCCCCCCCCCGCTTATTTAGCGGATGGCTGAGTTGTTGCGATTTTGGGGGGATCAAAACAAAAAAGTGTCCTCTTACCCCCCCCCCCCCCCCCCCCTCCCGCTTCAACGGCTGGCTGAGTCGTAGCGAAATTTTCGGCCCGATTAAAAAATGTTAACCCCCCCCCCCCTTTGAAAAAATCATACAAATAATTCATACAATAATTCATACATTAATTCATACATTAATTCATACATTATTCCATACATTAATTCATACATTATTCCATACATTAATCCATACATTGATTCATACAATATTCCATACATTAATCCATACATTAATCCATACATTAATTTATACATCAATTTATACATTAATCCATGCATTAATCCATACATCAATTTATACAACAATTCATACATTAATCCATACATTAATTCATACATTAATCCATACGTTATTTCATACATTAATCCATACAGTAATCTATACATTAATCCATACAGTAATCCATACATTAATCCATACATTAATCCATCCATTAATCCATACAATAATCCATACATTAATCCATACATTAATCCATTCATTAATCCATACATTAATCCATACATTAATTCATACATTAATCCATACATTAATCCATACATTAATCTATACATTAATCTATACATTAATCCATACATTAATACATACATAAATCCATACATTAATCCATACATTAATCCATACATTAATTTTAATACAATTCCTTGCATGATTGAGAGCCTTAATTGTCATGGTAGCTCGGCTTAAGCCGGGGTTATCATATGATTGCAGGGTTTTCAGGGAGAACAGTATTAATAATGTTGGGGATACCCTGGGTAAAAAAAAATATTATTATTATTATTGTTATTATTATTATTATTATACATCTCATTTTTATTTTATTATATGCTTTATATTTTACAATACTGAATAATGTCTTACCCCTAGTAGGCCCCCTAATATATTTTTGACGCCCAGGTTGAAGTTCTGATAAATACTGTATACTTACGAAAGGGTTATTATTCCATCCCAATACGCGCTACGTAACATTTGAAGGAACACGATTTTTTAAAATTAAATCGAGACGGCTGTCATTGTTCGTATAATCCTGTCTTAAACCGCTTGAAAATATCAAGAACAACAAGATTTATCAAAATGCTTATAAATAAAAGAATTGTTTCATTTATGGTTCTATTTTTCAAGGTGCGCTCGAGTAAAGTTGGAATAATACTACATTACTGTAATACTTCAAGGATTACTTTGTCTGTTTTAAGTCACTGTCGCAGACCCACAGAGATAAGCCTCGTAACGCAATGTGTTAGAACATGTCGTAGAAGAAAATATTGATAGAATCAGGTGAAACATTCGCAATCATCCGGAAATTCTAAATATGATATTTCTCACACTTTTCAAAGACCAGGTTCAAAATCACAAGGGTTTTATAGGAAATGTAATTGTTTAAAGAATATGTGCGTAGTTGCACTTTCCTACACATTCAAATTTGTTTTCTTCTAATATTTCATCCCAAAAAGATATTGAGGCTACCCTTGCTTACCATCGACGGCCACATAATCATATTGTCACATTCTTCTACTCGTTAGGGATCAAGTCATTGGTTCTGAGATTAATCGTAAGATATTTCGTCAATTCATCAAAGAAATTTTCCTGTCCCCTCACGTCCTCAGTCCAATGGAGGTAGGGTCTGCCGTCACTGAGATACAACCTCGCCAAGAACGGTATCTCATCATCTGGGATGTCTTCGATGAAGACCGCGACTACGAACTCGGTCTGAGTATCACTCACGTGGTCCATCGCGGTGCGGAACTTGAGCATGAACCAGCGATCGCGCACGGCGGCTCTGCTTAGTAGAATGACGGTCTTATAACTCCGGCTCACCACGTAGTCAATCGAATCCAAGTAATGCATACCCACCACGAGGTCTTTGTCACCAAAGACGTTCCTCTGAAACTGCGGGAGTCTTTCTTCGAGAGTTGGTAGGAGACGTTCGCCAGCCCACTCTTCGTCATCGTCGTAGAAGATGATATTCATGTCGAACTCATAATCATTGGGGTCTCGAGCGTCTCGCATCTCGTTATACCCAACGGCTGCTAATTTCAAGAGAAAGAGTTTGTACCTCAACTGCCATCGATAGTGAAATACGAGTACGACGATGACAACGAAGGACATGGTGGCGAGGGAAGTCAAAGAATAGAGGGCAATATTAGGGCTACAAAGCTTCTTGGAGTCAAAATCAAACAGCGGTTTCTCGCGAAGAGGCTCTAAAGATGCTGACGAACAAATAGTTTGATTCTTGTTCATGAGTACAAGTGGTGCGCCAATCCAGTCGAGAAGCCAACTTAATTCACAGTTGCAGTCAATTGGGTTCCTTGAAAGATCGACAGATGTAAGAGAAGGCCCAATCAGTTTGAAAGTACTTTGGTTGAGTCTTGTTAATTTGTTGTCTGATAACAAAAGTGTTGTCAGCCTGCAATTGTTCAAAAACAGATTTTTGTCGAGGTTTGCCAACCAGTTATTATGGAGATCAATGTTTGTCGTTTGTCCTAAATGTTTGAATATGTCAGTAGGAAGTTGCTTTATTTTGTTTCCCCCTAAGTTCAGCACCCGAAGGGATTTTAACGCCTCAAAAGCTAATGGATGAAGCAATGAAATTTGACAGTCTTCCAAACTGAGATTTTGTAGAGCAGTTAGTGGTTTAAACACCCACGGTGGTATAGCATCTACATGACGAAGTATCGACAGGTCGAAAGAATTTTCACTCAGATCCAAAGTCGTCAGACTAACCAGTCCATCGAAAAGAGAGATATTTGAACGCCAAAGATTTAACCCGATAAGCCCGGTCTTTCTGAGGTTCAAATGCACAAGTGATTGTAGATGTTTGAAGGACTTCCCAGCCCATAAAAACATATTCGGTGGTAAATTTAACTTATTGTTAAGGAAAAGAGATTTTAAGCCTGGTGCAACAAAATGAACCCTAACGATATTACATTGTGACAAATTGATAGTTTCAATTTGTTTTAATCCCATAAATGATAGGGAATCCACGACTGTAAGATCTTTGTTCGAGTGCAAGTCTAAAAATCTTAACTTTTGCAAACCGGGAAACGTGAATTGGGAAACTTCAGTCAGATAATTAAAGGAAAGATCCAACTCAGTTAAGCCTATTTTCCATGAACAATTATTATTGGTGTTTATATATTTTATTTTATTGTTTTTCAATTTTAAAACCCTGATATCCTGCATATTTTCAAAAAAATCTGGTTCGACTGTTTCGATAAAGTTGTCACTGACATCAAGTAATCTAGTACGCGTCAAATTCGAGAAGACAAATGGATAGAGGGCGTGTATGTAGTTGCTAGAGAAGTTTAGCACTGAAAGAAAATGACCGTGCAGCGGATGAAAGAAATCTGTTGGAAATTCACTAACAGTCGAGCACTCGACGAGTTTAAATTGCTCTATAGTCGACCGTGAGATGCCAATGAATATATTTCTCAACACCTCGAATGACAGAGGAACGGACCCGACCCACAGTGACTTGACCTGCAATGATGCGATCATATCGGGATCGACTAATATGATAGGGTTATCAATTAGAACCAAAGTCTCACAATGACATGAAAATTCAAAAGCTTTCTTGGTGATGTGTGTAAGTTTATTTGCATTTAAGTCAACGCGCTTAACCCTGTCACAAAGAATTAGAGTAAGATGATTGTAGTCCAGTCTTATACGTTCTAAATGCGGGCTCCATTTTAGCGTATCGTTGGGGAGTGATATCAAGTTTAAATAACTTAAATCTAGAATGGACAGCTTCTTAGCCCACCTGAAGAGCCCTGTGTCAGGAAGCACAAGATGACGGTTGAAAGACAAATTGAGATCCTGCATTTCTTTGAGAGGGTAAAAGGTCCTAGATTCAATCATCCTAATGTCGTTCCCGGCAATGTTCAAGTGGGTGAGAAGCGGGTATCTTTCAAACGAAGAGTTTAAGAGAGATGATAGAATATTGTTCATTATGCTCAAACCTTCAGTGTCTTCAGGAAGACTTTGAGGGACAGAATCCAAATTTCTGTCATCACAATCGGCTGTCTTAAGCTCAACGCCCTCACGACAGGGCGATCTCTTCAGATCCCAAGGTGTTATGGGAACAGCATCTCCATGCAGCGTTTGGATACAGGAGAAGATGATCAACGGAAGAAGTACATGGTGTTCGAAGGCCATAATGCCGGATTTCGGTTTTCTGTCTGAAAGAAAAACATATAGGGTCAATTTATTTCACTAATTTCTAATATCTTGCGTTTGTTTGCTGTATAGGCGATTGCACCCTCGACAATTTAATATAGCATGCAGGAGTCACGTGCTTGTGCGACGTTGGTAGAAGAGCTTCGTGCATGTTGACTTCTAGTTCTTTATCATCGTCATCATCTTATACTACTACTACCACTACTACTTCTACTGCTGCTACTGCTGCTGCTGCTTCTACTAATACTTCTACTATTACTGCTGCTGCTACTACTATACGAGTACTACTGCTACTAGTACTGCCTCTTTACTAGCTACTAATTTTGTCGTTTTGTTTGGGTTCGTATGAGATATTTTTAAGGCTGCAATTTCAAGTTCACTTCGGCTAACTTTAACCTCATAAGCTGACCACACAACGTATTATCAAATGAGGCGACACACTTCGAGAGTAAAATTGTACCATTTCAAATAAGCTGCATGGAGAAAAAGACTCTTGAGCATTTTACCTTAATAAACTTGAGTTCTGGTAAAAAAAAAAAAATGAATCAGTCTCACAGAATCTAACGAAACTTCACTGAATGTTCAAGATTACAAATAAATTTCATGTGTCAAATAATTTTGGAAGAAAATGTATACTGGCTGAGTAATGAGCATAGCAAGATAAGAAAGTCAGGTAGTACTAGCCCGACACCATTTGTGTTGTACCATTTACATCTTTATGTGTACAGTGATTGTTACTTTACCAAGACTGGACCAAATTTATGATGATTTTGATGACTCCAGAACCTTGCATTACACACCAATACTCACATGCTATAACTTTTCTGAACCATTCCACACCTTTTCTTTCACAATGCAATCGCATTACCAGAACTCACCTTTATCTTTAACTTTGCACAACTCATGTAGTTTGGTGCTCCAGAATAAGATCCCTCGCAATGGATGGTGAGTTTGTAGTTTGGCGCTCCAGAATAAGATCCCTCGCAATGGATGGTGGGTTTGTAGTTTGGCGCTCCAGAATAAGATCCCTCGCAATGGATGGTGGGTTTGTAGTTTGGCGCTCCAGAATAAGATCCCTCGCAATGGATGGTGGGTTTGTAGTTTGGCGCTCCAGAATAAGATCCCTCGCAATGGATGGTGGGTTTGTAGTTTGGCGCTCCAGAATAAGATCCCTCGCAATGGATGGTGGGTTTGTAGTTTGACGCTCCAGAATAAGATCCCTCGCAATGGATGGTGGGTTTGTAAATTGGATATGGTTCTGAACATGCACTCCAAACTATTTACGTTTAAATACACATTCTCGGCGAAATGAGATAGAGATCATCTAAATAAGGTGGTATATAATAACTGAAGTGTCTTTTATAAATCATCACTTTCTAAAGCGAAACTGTAAACTTCCACTTAGATTTTAATGATGCCTCCGTCCAGTTTTATCTTTATAATTCAAGGAGGATGATCGACTCTGGTGATGGATGGGGACAAATGGATATCATCTTTAAGATATAAATGTGGGCAGGTAATTTGTCAATCATAATCGCTTTTCTGTCTCAGAAACTGGATCATTGAAAGTCCTTAGTTTTGTATTTTATATTGCCCTCCTCCGTCATTGTCATTCTTTAATGAGTTTTGAAAAATATGAATAATAATTTTAGCAACTAACTTTGATTTCAGTTTTACAAAACCCTAGGATCAGCTCTAGGGGTTTCACAATTGTCTTTCTCTGTTGTAACTTATTCATTACTTTGTAAAGTGAAACTGTAAACTTCCACTTAGATTTTATTGATGCCTCTGTCCAGTTTTATCTTTATAATTCAAGGAGGATTTTCGGATCTGGTGATGGATGGGGGAAAATGGATATCATCTTTAAGATATGAATGTGGGCAGGTAATTTGTCAATCATAATCGCTTTTCTGTCTCAGAAACTGGATCATTGAAAGTCCTTAGTTTTGTATTTCATATTGCCCTCCTCCGTCATTGTCATTCTTTAATGAGTTTTGAAAAAGATGAATAATAATTTTAGCAACTAACTTTGATTTCAGTTTTACAAAACCCTAGGATCAGCTCTAGGGGTTTCACAATTGTCTTTCTCTGTTGTAACTTATTCATCACTTTGTAAAGCGAAACTGTAAACTTCCACTTAGATTTTATTGATGCCTCTGTCCAGTTTTATCTTTATAATTCAAGGAGGATTTTCGGATCTGGTGATGGATGGGGGAAAATGGATATCATCTTTAAGATATGAATGTGGGCAGGTAATTTGTCAATCATAATCGCTTTTCTGTCTCAGAAACTGGATCATTGAAAGTCCTTAGTTTTGTATTTCATATTGCCCTCCTCCGTCATTGTCATTCTTTAATGAGTTTTGAAAAAGATGAATAATAATTTTAGCAACTAACTTTGATTTCAGTTTTACAAAACCCTAGGATCAGCTCTAGGGGTTTCACAATTGTCTTTCTCTGTTGTAACTTATTCATCACTTTGTAAAGCGAAACTGTAAACTTCCACTTAGATTTTATTGATGCCTCTGTCCAGTTTTATCTTTATAATTCAAGGAGGATTTTCGGATCTGGTGATGGATGGGGAAAATGGATATCATCTTTAAGATATGAATGTGGGCAGGTAATTTGTCAATCATAGTCGCTTTTCTGTCTGAGAAACTGGATCATTGAAAGTCCTTAGTGTCGTATTTCTATTGCCCTCCTCCGTCATTGTCATTCTTTGATTAGTTTTATAAAAAAAAAAAATAAAAATACTTTTAGCAACTTATTTTGATTTCAGTTTTACAATGACCTAGGACCAGCTCTGGGGTTTCAAAATTTTCTTTCTCTATTGTAACTAATTCATTCATAATTTGAAAGATTTAGAAAAGCAAAATGCGCAGCGCAGTCAAGATCGCTTTATATTGGGCTTTCCATTCCTTTATTATAACTTGTCATATCATCAGTCAAATTCGTTTAGGTTATTACGAGCAACTGCAAAAAAATAAACTCAATTTAACTAACTAAGACAAGACAGATGTGTGTGATTCTTCAGCAAAATGATATTAATTTACTTCAGAAATCAGTGATCAATGAGCAAAATGAGGAAAACGTCAATTTTGGCTGGATTTGTGGTTACGATTTTGTAAAGGAAAGAGGCAACAGAAATATTGAAAAGATGTTGGATTACACGAATTCATGACCAAATCAAGCAGTCGTCGAAATTACATGAATTTTCTACATCAATTTTTTCAAAATATACAAGTTGAACACGTTTTTTTTTTATCATGTGCAGAGAATTCAATCTGAACCGGTATTTATGTAAAGACACTGGCACTTAAAAGAGCCTTCTATATAGGGGGTTCCAAAAACGCTTCTAAAATGTGAAATTTTGTGGTTATTAAGACCGGGGGCATCGAAATATATTACTTTACTTTCCTTCATGATCTTTAATTCGCAAACACTTTTCAGGATACCTTCAACTTGCTCCCAATAATCCGGCCTAAAAAGTATTATTTTGATTTTAGAGGATTGGAATGAGCAGTACATCAAAATAAGGGGCAGGGTCAAAAGTGAAAGTTTCAAAAATGCACTGGTGAGCACCGGTGTAATATTGTTATACAGTGCTCTGCACAGCAGCCCTACACTTTTTATAAAAAGAAGAATGCACAGCCGAACAAGAGCAGGGGCGTAGACAACGGGGGGGGGGGGGGGATGAGGGGGATGCATCCCCCCACCTCACAAGGTGGGGGGATGGCATGTACAATCATCCCCCCCCCCCCCAGGTTTTGGGGAATGATATTTGATTACTTAATAAGTCATAATGATGATAATAATAGTAATAATAATAATGATAACAATTATAATATTAATAATAATAATAATTATGATGACGATAATAATATTCCTATTCATTATTGTAATTGTGTTTATTGTTATTAGCCGCATTCACACGGTGAAAGCCAATTCAGACGGTAAAAAAAGAAAATCTTACAAGTATTTTGTGGTTATCTTGTGGTTTGGAAACCACAAGATAACCACAAGATTAATCAGGCGCGGATCTACGGGGGGGGGTTTAGGGGTTTAACCCCCCCCCCCCTTGGGCGGCCCAAAAAACAAACCAAAAAAAAAGGGGGGAAAGGAAAAAAAAGAAAAAAAGAAGAAAAAAGAACGCACGCTGGAGAGAAACCCTTTCAAGTGCAAATATTGTGAGAAGATATTCAACTCATGTGGTAACTTAACCAAACACATGATAACTCTGGATATAACTGTGTATTTAACTGTTACTTGATTTAAAAAGACGTTATCATGCACTGCTTTTTATAGTCTCCATTGTGTTAATAGATGCCAGGAAAACATCACTTACGGAGTTCAAATAAACACCCCAAAAATCGGTTCGCCGCTTCGCGGCTCGTGGACGATGCTCCGCATCGTCATTATTGGTCAACCCCCCCTTAGCAAAAAGCTAGATCCGCCCCTGAGTCATCCCCCCCCCCCCCAGGTGTACGAACCTGTCTACGCCACTGAACAAGAGATATGCATTTACAAAATGTTGAAAAGATTCCCCATAAAACCCGGGTACTATGCGTGCTTTTTCGGAATTTTACTTTATGCATACTATTTTCCGAGGTAACTAGCAATGACGTTTGAGCTGTATCTTGAGTGCGATTAAAAATTAACGAACTGAAGACAGATACAGTGATTTCCTCACATGCAACTGAGTCGATTGTACTTTGATGACAAACTTTATTTTGAACAAATTATAACTCTTTCCGCTCACAAAATATTGCATCATATAAATCGGCATACGAGATAATAACGATAATATAATACACTGTGAAACATTCTATTAATTATGCCTTATTTTTCATTCATTTCCAGGAAACGCAATAAGTAAAAAGCGCTTGGAAAATTAGTGAAATGCAAATATTCCAACGAAGAGCCTAGATTAGTATATACCTACCAGTGTAAGAGCGGACGGGGACCAAGGTAATTTTCGGA